AACAAAAAAACCTTCGTAAAACGTCTTTGGAATGTACATATACTATTAAAATGTATTGCCGAATTAAAAACGCGTTTGGTTTCTGCTTTTTCTTGCTCTATTTACCACCGTAAACGTTAAATTTAAACGTCAGCTATTATAAACAAAGATTCGCAAATATTGTTCCATCCTTTATCGATAACATATATCGTCTGACCCTCTGAAATATACCGAAAATACGAACTTAGCCCACTTCAACCCCCTTATTTAAACAAGAGAACAACTTGGCCTAAATCGAGAAAAATATTACTTATAGCAATAATAATTCTTCCTGTAGATCCATCCTATCCTTCATCGTTACTGCGGAACTTTACCTGAACTGCGAAAAAAGTCGTTAAGATTCATAATTTTCGTGGTCGACAATGGGCTAATCGTTCTCTGACCATGACCGGAAATCATATTCCTCGATTTTGATATTCGACTTAATAGTACTAGCTAGCTAGGACCCTCAACGCTGAACTCATAGCTTTATGCGGTCGATGAATTAATTTTCTACAAGATTGGTTAGTTTTATGGACTGCTTTTTTTGGGATTGTGATTAAAATAGGGTTTAAACAAGAAAGATCAAAACATAAATATGTTACGCATGAAATGTTACGTCATTTAAACACTTGTTGCGTGTCAACCGTCGTTATGGACATCTTTATACCCTATTTTTAGTTGATATTAAAATGCTGTTTTCCAAGCTGATTTGAAAACTTAATGACTTCCGTACCTGATACCGATACCAATTGTTTTGACTGGCTAGCTAGCTAGTAATATTAGGCCGAACATCAAAATCGAGGAATATGATTTTCGGTCATGAAAATATAACGATTAGCCCATTGTCGACCACGAAAATTTTGAATCTTGACGAATTTTTCCGCAGTTCAGGGGAAAGATATCGTGGTTTTCTTAAAAGGATAGAATCCACATGAAGAATCCTTATCATTTAGGTGGGTAACAGTATATTACAGTAAATTTTGAAAATTAAAAATATATTAAGGTTTTTTTTGACGGTCAGACGGGTATATTTTATCGAATAGTCCGCCATCGTCACATCGTCAAATTTAAAGTGAAAATAGATAAACAATCAGGCCCAGACCAATTTCAAATATTTCACTTGTTTATATTATAATTCTTATTGGAAAATACAACTAATAAGACATATTTTTAATGGTTTTCGCTCAGAATACTCACATCCGCATCGTACACCAATCGATAGTATCGGTAGTCACTATCAGGGTCAGGTTCCTGATTTCCATCAGGGTCAAAATTAAACCGACGGCATATTTACGGTATATCGATATGTAAGTCTACATTTTGTCCATTTCATCAATCTATTAAATTTCATTTTGAACGGTATATAGAAATCCAATAAAAGCAATTATTTAAAGTAAGCCAGTCAAATAGAAAATTGATTTATCAATCGTATAAAATTATGTGGGCGTGGCAAATTGTTTTATAAGGCCGGGAATATTCGACGGAAGATCGAAACTGAGGAATATGTAAAATAGAACTTGAATTCGTCAGTATATTTACGGTGTATTTTTTAAATGAGACGGTATGTTTCGGTATATTTCTGAGGATCGGACGCTATATTTTATCGATAAGGCAATAATTTCCATTACAATCCATGCCGAACTGAATCCAATTCAATAACTTGGTGTCCATTTCTGTGTGCAATTCGTCGCAGCCCCTCCACCCACAGCCAGTGCCTCAAAATGATTGAAGCAAGAATTCATAAGCTGGGGCCCAGCATAGCTCTGCTAGCGGTGAGTCGACGTGTTCTAATGCCGCGGAAAACACACTGGCTGGACGATGGCAGACGGCGGGGCGGTTGCTCGCTCGTTCCCCCGGCTTAGGCATGAAAATAATTCGAAAGATGCTGTCGCCCGGTGGCCCGCCCGCCTGTGTTTGTAACTCCACGCCCATACACAGCATCCCACCACACAGCACACCACTCCAATGTCTAAAAACTAAGTGGCGCGATTTTATGCATAATTCCAGATACTTCATCTCCTGCAACATCCAGCGGCCACAGATGCGGGGGGAGCGGTGCCTATGACCAGTGAAAACATTGATATGACATTAGGTAAGGTTCCAAGCGGTGCTCACGGTGCATCCGCTGCGCTAGAATCAGAAGCAAGCATCACAATGCAGAAAATCAATTAGCCAACATTTGGGTGGGCATTGACGTGTCACAAGTTTCACACAAAGCCATTGGCCCGATAAATTGGTCAGGCATTGTTGTTGGCAGGCGTTTTGAAGCGACCTGCTGCCAACGTGTCTAAAAACAAACAACAGCGGCTAAAGCTCATACATTTCTACAGAAATTAAGGTGGATATTATAACAATTGGAGCAATTGAGATACAATATCCGTCTTACTTGTTACACAAACATCTGGTTTCACACTAGCTTGTTCCATTCATATCATAAACATCGACTGCCACGTGAGTCATTGAATTACTTGAGACACAAGCAGAGTATGGTATGGCTAAAATCTTAACAGATTGATTGGCTTTCTACTGAGAAGTTCTTTCTTTATCTTATCTACCTCTCTCTCTCTCTCTCCCTCTGAACAACAACCTCAATTAGAAGCTGGGAAAATTTTGAAGTTTTAATGTCTTGTATCTTTTTTCAGCCTCTAATGAATTGGTTTTCCTTAATTTTTATGCCGAATGGTGTAGATTTAGTAATATATTAGCTCCCATATTCGGTGAAGCTGCGGATAAGGTAAGCCAAATATATAATATATCCTCGAATTCGATCCGCTGCCAAAATGAATGGGTTTTTGCTTACAGATCAAGGCGGAATTCCCCGATGCCGGCCGTGTTGTGCTTGGGAAAGTGGATTGCGACAAGGAGACGGCTATTGCCTCGCGGTTTCATATCAATAAATATCCAACATTGAAAATTGTACGCAACGGACAGCTCAGTAAGCGCGAATATCGCGGCCAGCGTTCGTCGGATGCTTTCTTGGAGTTTGTCAAGAAACAACTGGAGGATCCCATTCAGGAGTTTAAATCGCTGAAAGAACTGGAGCATCTTGACTCAAAGAAACGCCTCATATTGGGCTACTTCGATCGCAGGGATCAGCCGGAATATGATACATTCCGAAAAGTGGCCACAAACTTGAAAGAGGATTGCCAGTTCCATGTGGGTTTCGGTGATGCCTCACAGGCCATGCATCCACCTGGTAAGGGTCAATCAATCAATCGCTACCTATGCATATCTCTGATTTTTTCGAATCTACATACATAGGAACCCCCATCATTGTGTTTAGACCCGATGTGGCCTTGTCGCACGAAAACGATGAGACCTACACTGGCAGCCTGCAGAATTTCGATGAACTGAAGATATGGATACAGGAGAAGTGTGTGCCGCTGGTTAGGGAAATAACATTCGAGAATGCCGAGGAGCTTACCGAAGAAGGACTGCCGTTCCTGATACTTTTCCACCGGCCAGACGATCTCAACTCCATCAAGGATTACAAGTCCATCATTGAGCGTCAACTGCTAGATGAGAAACGTACGTGGATATACATAATTTCTTCTATTAAGAACAAAATCCAATCTGATTCCGATCTATGGTCTTTTGCAGAGAATGTCAACTTCCTGACGGCAGATGGCAAAAGATTTGCCCATCCGCTGCATCATTTGGGAAAGTCGGAGGACGACCTGCCATTGATAGCCATCGATTCGTTCAAGCACATGTATCTGTTCCCCCACTTCAGTGACATGTACACGCCGGGCAAGCTAAAGCAATTCCTTCAGGATCTCTACAGCGGGAAGCTGCACAGGTACACAAACGAAACCGCAATCGCTCTACAAATATCTTATTTATTTCCGTTTTGTTTTGCTATAGGGAGTTTCATTATGGGCCGGATCCCTCAAATAATGATATACATCCCGATCCACATACCGGCAAAGGTACCTCACCACCCGAATCGAAATTCAAGGAACTGGGCCCATCCAAGCATCGCTACACCTTGCTAGAAAAAGATGAACTGTAATATTAACTAATGTATATTCAACAAATAATATTAAAACAAAAATTTTATAAAAACAAACATTCCCCCAAGACAAATATGTAACTCTTCTTTTTAGCAGCTGTAGTCGTGAAAAAAATAAGGCTGTAGGCCTGATCAAGTGGATCTTATAACCATCTGTTCGATTTAAAATATACTCCACAAAATCTTTTTCAAAAATTCCAAATACAATAATTGTTATATCCATACAAATTGGAGGACTGTAAGAAAGAAGATATATGCCTGAAGATATATCAATCCAATGTGTAAGTTTTCTACAATTTCCTACATTTCAGCTTTTTTATTTTTTAGAAATGTTTCTGTATAGCAAGGTCTTTCCTTTTTTTAGTACTCATGGTTTATTTACAAGGTTTCGATAGATCTAGGCGTTTACTGGGTTTAAAGACTTGCCAAAAATGTAGGAATAGGAATGCTCTTAAAAGGCAAGCAGACTGCCTGCCACTGCCATTGAACATCCACTCCTATAGGCGTCAGTCTTTCTGTAAAACTACTCTATCTTAAGTGGCAGGAGGCAGCAGAATAACCAGAAATAGACCAAGGAAAAGTCGAGAATGGATATCCAAATATCATATCCCCCCACAAAGATTCTCCTTGTTTAGGAACTTACATAGATCCTATTAAATGATCCTTATTTCAAACAAATAACTCTAGATATTTGCTTATTTGTGGATGTGGTCCGAGTCGATATGAGAATTAATATTTATTCTTATTGCATGTCGTGTGCATGACGCGTTTATCTTATAAGGGTTCGTTGCTGTTCGTTGTGTGACTGCTCCCAAATGCTCTTCCAATAAATAAATATTGGGGCATAGGCGACTTGTTGATGCCCCTTACGACCCGTTGATAGTAATAAACGATTTGAGACCTCTTCTATTATATATAATGTATATATATATATATGTATTTACAATTATAAAAATACACACATATATATATGTAAGTTTATACTTTGTTTTTGTTTCAATATTACAAATAGTGTTTGTTAAATTAGATTACATATATATGTATAGTCTAAAAGTCAAAACGAGAGATAAAAGAGGGTAGGGTGGGGTGTGCGGAGTAGAGTGGCGTGTGTGTGTGTGTGTGTGTGTTTGGGGTTTTTGGGGGTGGCGAGAAATCAGATAAAATGGTTGGATGTGGCTGCGCATTTGTATCTTTTGCTTTGACTGGGGTACATTCAAGGGTACACGTTTGATAGGGTTTACTTTTCGCTACGATTAATACGTAAATCTGAAAAAAAACATAGGGTTACCAAACAGGTCGTTAGTATGGCCTGGAACGCATGCCGCCGTCGTTTCGCATAGCACCGCCGCCATCTCGGCGATTGGCGCCGCCACCACCACCACGCCCTCCGCCTCCACGTCCACCGCCATCACGGCCATTCTCGTTTGAATAGCGGCCGCCACCGCCCGAGTTGCCGCCACGGTCTCTATTGTTGTATCCGCCGCCGCCGCCGCCAGAGCGATCGCCTCCACGGTCATTCATGCCACGATCGTTACGGTCATTCATGCCACCGTATCCGCCCCCACCGCCGCCATATCCCCCGCTGTTGCCCCCGGAACCGCCGCCATCTTCGCCGCCCTTGGGTGTCTTGCAGCTGGAAAAGATCCGAGTTGGATGAGAGTTCGTTGAGAAGGTGAAGCCTGCATGCACACTTACCGGTTGCATTCGTTGCGCCAGGCGAAGTTGGTGTTGTTGCAATTGTTGCACTTCCAATCGCCATCACGGGGCTGAACATTGCCACCGGCACCGCCTCCACCACCGCCGCCGCCACCACCGCCGCGATCAAAGCGACCGCCTCCACCCCCGCCGCCGCCTCCGCCACCGCGATCGAAGCGTCCCCCACCACCGCCGCCGCCGCCACCCCCACGTGGACGACCACCGAAACCGCCGCGCCCACCGCCGCCCTTGTTCCAGGTGCTCTGGCGCTGAGCGAGCGATACTTTTATATTGGCTCCCTTGAAGACGCGTCCGTCAAACCATTCAATGGCGGACTGAGCAGCATTGGTATCATCGTATGTGACAGTGGCCTCCCCCTTCGACAGACCGGTGTCCTTGTTCTTGTAGAGCCAAATCTTTGGCTTCATTGTACGCTTATCCTTCTGCAATTTGAGAGTTTGATTGATTTGATATTAGAACTCCTGTCCAGACTTGTGACGATGGGGATGGGCTTCGGGATTCCATCCATATCCGGACATATACTTGCCTTGATGATGCCAATGGCACCGAAATGCGTCTCAATGTCTTGCTCTGTGGTATTTGTGTCCATGCCAGAGACAAATATGGTATCGTCCTGGGTTATCAGATCGCCACTACCACCGCTGCCGCCGCTCCCACCGCCGCCGCCCATGGGTCCTACAAAAATGGCAAAAAATGTGTTAGAATGCGCTGCACAGAGGGCAATAAATAGCTTATAGAAACTAAAGATATTATTGCGGATTTTGCGGATTGGTTTCCTTTCACAACTTGGCCCCCCTCTCCCAAAAGAGGGTGCCCTCTTAATGTACAAATAGTATACGTGTTTGCCATATAATATGTATAAATGGGGGCATTACAACACCGGACTCTGCCGATCAATGGATCGGGTAAACACCATATATCGCCCATGCCCAGGCGCCGACTAAAAGACTAGCTTAGCAATATATAAAAACCAGGATTTGCAGCGGCATTTGTGGGACACCAAAACTTCACAACTTCACAGAGAACCGAACCCTTTTTTTCTTTTTGTTGTTGTTTGTTTCAAAAGAACCTTTAGACAGAGTGTGAGAGGGGAAGAGACGAGCAAAAGAGAGAGAGAGAGAGACAGATAGAGAGAGGGAAACAGTTTTATCTTAGCCTTATTTCTCTCTCTGGCTCCCCCACCCCACCAAAACGACAACAAACACACCCACAGTAGAGAGAGAGAGAGAGAGAGAGAGAGAGAGAGAGAGAGCGCGCGAGAGAGCCAGGAGCCAGAGAGAGCGCCATAGAGAGAGAGGAAGCGATTAAGCACTGGCTAAACAAGAAAGCAGCAGTGGTGCCGGTCTGAAAATGTGGGTCATTTTATTACTTTAAAGATTTTGCAAAACATGAAAGCGACTCACGATTCACCCACCATTCTGCCCATCTCTGTAGGTACTCGTACTCACAATCAAATGTATGTAATTATCGTAGAATGGGCCCACAAATTGCACTGCAATTGGCAGAAACAACAATAACAACAACAACACCAGCTGCCGACTTTAGTCACCAACCACCAGGCCGGCCAGGCACTCCATCTTCAGTGTCAACCAACAAACAACCTTGCACATCTCTTATATATTCAGATAGATAGTGCTTTACATTAAACCACAGCAATACATATGTAGCAATACACACACGACAGATACAACACAATTTTATGTGATAAAAAGTATAGCTAGATTTGCTGCAGGACTCTTCTGGACACCTCCTAGAAACCCCTAGAGTACCTCGGTATTACAACAACAGCACTTTTTGAGTCAGTCCTTAACCATAGCTATATATAAGTAACCACCATGAAATTCTTCAGATATACACTCTATCCTAAATAGCCTAATGGAACGATGGAATAGAACGACCAAAGAATGCCGCCTTTGCTTAGCTTTTCTTTCTTTTCTTTCGCTTTGCTTTGCTTTCCTTTTGATTTGGAATTTGAGATTTTTCGCTTTTAGGAGGATCCTTTCGTTTTTGTTTTGTTTTTTTTTTTAAGTTCAATATGTAGAAAAATATTGGTATACATTACTCGATAGGATTGCAGTCTATTTGCATTATTTTTACCTTTGCTGTAGCTGTCCTTGTTGGCGCCTCCATTTCTAAAAAAGGATATTGAATGAACTTATTTAATGTTTGAATTTCGATTTGTTTTGGGGTTTTGTAAGGCATCAAATACATATTTGTTGTTTTGTTTTGTTTTGTTTTTTGTTTGCGGCTTGTTTCAAAATATTGTACCAACAATTTCGGTAGACATCCACCGGCATAGCTCGCACCAAATCCACATCCATCGATTCAATTCCGAAACGAACTGAACCGAAGAATCGAATCGCTGATCACAAATGCTCTGGTGGACACCGCAACCTATTGGTTTTTTTTTTTGTTCACTAAATACTTAATAATCATACGATTTATATTTATATACATAATTAATTGTAATCTAGACAAAAGACATCACAATACAAATGCTTATTCTATATTCTAAAATATTAATATTAATGATATTCTACATGTATACAATATTGGAAATCATTTGATATCGGCTTACAGATAGAGAACTCAAGGCTTTAATCTTACATTTAACCATATTTTAATCTGTTTTTGCAATACCAAATTTGTGTCTCCCATTTTGCCCTGTTCCACCATCTGGTGGCCCACTATTCTGCAAAACTCTTAGATCGGAGAGGGATAGTAGTCTCCAAAAATGTTATATTTATTGCAGAGTTCTACGATTCGTAACTTAGGCTCTAAGGTTAGTCACAGAATTGTTCATTTGAGACTCATAATGTATCCGTTTTACTTTTTCAATTAATTGGGTTTTTCTTTGTTGTTATTGTTTATACTCGTATTTTCTTTGATGTTATTTTTGCGGCGCCTGAAGCCTGTGGATCGAAATTCAATTACAGATTATGTGCGCGCGTATGTGTGGAGCCTAAATATATCTTGACTCTCGGTTGGGGCTTGTTTTTCTTAGAAGTATTTTGATATTACCCGCAGCGTTTTCGTTCCAGGAAAGGGCCACCCTTTTTCATACGATTGATATTTTTTAAATCTAAATGCAAATATTAATGTTAATGTAGTGTGCGTGTGTGTGTGCGCGTGTGTAAAACAAGACTACATCAAACACATAGATACAATAGATACTTGCACCTATCTTTGGACCCTTATTTGTACCAAATTTATCTCTACCCAAACCGAGTTCGTTGTACATTTAACTCTAGTTTTTGTTTCTATCTTTTTTCAAAAGATGCGAATTTTGAACAGCTTTTGGGTGTGGAGAACGCATTGGTTATACGTTTTTTATCATACCCCTCAGGCATCTGGTCTCTCTCCAACTTATGTTTGTACATATAAATATATATGTACAACAAATATGCCACACATATTAATTTTCGAATTGATAAGAGCTGAATTTCACAGATGCAACGGGGTTTTATCTGCATTATCTACATACATATACATATTTTGCAAATATCCAAATGCATAATTTTGTGCGTGTGTGTGCGTGTGTTGTTTTGGTTTTATAGGTTTCCACCAAAAGGCGAAGCAACAAATCTAATCAAATGTCGCTTTCTCCTTGAAAATGTATTTTTATTTCTAGCCGGTTGCTTAATGTTTTTCGCTTTGTTGTATTTTCCGCATTTTGTGCCTTTTCGTTTCCTCAAAAAAAATCATTTTCAATACACATGTATGCTCTCTCATGCACACATACATACACACATATCGATTGCTTTTTCACGCGTCTTACATTTTTTTTCTTCTATTTTACATTTTTGCTGGCACGTATTTCGTCGATGGAATTGGTTCATGAATTTGTTGTACACATTCTTATAACAAAAAAAAATTACAAAACATGGTAACCTCAGTGGAAAAACTGTACCCCCGGTCCCGATTTGAACATAATGAATGTATTTTAATAACATACCCATATGAGCTGCCGCCTCGTTTGTCGGACCATGAGCCGGGGCCGCCGCCATCGCTGCCGGAACCACGAATACCGGAATCGTAATCTAGAAAGATTGTATTCAAGACGTTTATCAGTCTTTGTTTTGCAGAGTTTAGCATGCAAAATATATTCTTACCTCCGCCGCCGCGTTGGGTTGGAGGTGGTTGATTGTAGCTGGACTGCATATTTGGTGGAGGGACATTAAAATTATTAAAGCCCTGGCCGCCGCCACCATAACCTCCACCTAAAGCACAAATATTTCGATGTTTTTTTTTCCACAAGTATATATCTTGATGGTGTACTTACGATCCATCACAAATAACGTGTGCAAATACTCTTTTCAACAACACAATTTCAGGAGAAAATAACTCCAAACACGGATATTATTTATTCGGACGCTATGGGCAGAACAAATTCTTTTGTCAAAATGGCGGAGATAGAGGTGTCAAACAATCGATGTCACTATCGATAGAATCGATGTTTTGGTGCTATTTGCTACTATCGATGGTTTTGCTACTATTCATGATACTATCGAGCTCTTATAGGTCGCTTCCCCTTCTCTACTTTGATATTGAGAAGGCTGAGCAATCAGCCTTGCCACCATATAAGATCCCCGATATAAGAAATAAAAATTTCTTTAATTTTGTTTAAAAAATTGCCTTCTAATCTTTGTTATATGAGCTCGATACTATCGATAGTATCGATATTTTGAATCATTATATTCAAAACTATCGAGTGGCGCCACTATCGATGGCTTGACAGCTCTATTTGGTTCCTCAACAACAATGTAGCCCACTTAAGCCCCCTCTATTTAAATAGTTCAACTCCTTGAGGCAAATGGCGGAAAATAATAACGATTGTAAATTCTTCTGGTAGATTCTTGCCATCTATTCACCACTATATCATTCACCTAAACTGCGTGGGCGACAAGCGGAACTTATCTTTGTTTAATATTTTTATAGTTTTACACAGCTTTTCATCATTTTAATAAATAACATGACCAATGTGTTGACGTGATATATTTTGTTTAAATATCATGGATTATAATTAATATTTGTAAATAGTAATTGTAAATGTTTAATAATTGTACGAGGTAACTGTAAAATACATGTTATAGTTCCTGAGTTATATAGTTTTACTAAAAAAGATTATATGACTGGCACAAGAAATCGTGATTTTATTTAATCCCAGCTCGTTTTCCAACACTCAGGCCGAGCAACCCTGCGAATGATTGTTTATATTCGTTAATGCGATACATTTTTAGATTGTAGAAATCAGCTGTTCCAATTTTTAAATAGTTTACGTGTTTACGTGGAATTTCAATCAGGTCCGAAACTCTCACCTAAATAAACAAAAAAGGGACACAATGATTGAAGTAACAGATCTGCAAAGTACGTCCATTGTTCATCTAACTATTGTAACACTTCTGTGAGCTCATTTGAAACCCTTTTCATAGAAATTGGCATCGGCTTGGCTGGCTTCGGCATATCGTTTTTGTTTCTTGGCATGCTGCTTCTGTTCGACAAAGGCTTACTCGCAATTGGAAATGTATGTGCAATAGCTGGCGCACCATCCAAAGTACGACCCATAATTAACAAAATGTTCTCCTCACCCGCAGATTCTGTTCATTTCGGGACTGGGATGTGTAATCGGCGTGGAGCGAACTTTGCGCTTTTTCTTTCAACGGCATAAAGTTAAAGGCACAACCGCCTTCTTTGGTGGAATCTTTATCGTTCTGCTGGGCTTCCCCATCATTGGAATGATTGTTGAATCCTATGGATTCTTTGCACTATTCAGGTTCGCTATTCGCTATCTATACTTTGTTGTTGTCGAGAGTTACGTGGATATGAAGATGTTTGCATCATAAAATGATAATTCTGAAATGTTGGTAGGTTTCTCCAAACCTACAGGCCCAAAAGCATAGCTTTAAATTAACATATCAGTATGTGATTGTAATTCTGTCCGGTCTGCCACCCACCCATGTGTCCGCCCGTCCACGCTTTCTATGCATGTGCGTGCGTGCCTTTGGAATTGTTTAAACTTTAATGGAATACGAGGAAACGGCAATATCTTCCATTTCACAATTGTCAAGTATCGCCAAAGAGCAATATTTTCCAGTCTATGGCCTTCTATCGTTATATCTATGGGTTTTTCTTTGTATCTTTGCAGCGGCTTCTTCCCCGTGGCCATCAATTTCCTTGGACGTGTGCCCGTCTTGGGATCTCTATTCAATTTACCCTTTATGCAAAAGGTAAGGACGAACGGTGCATATCGTAATGCTTAAGCTCACACAACCATTCCACACACTCACACACAAGTCACATATGGAGAGACGACTCCATTGATCCACACGAGCATTTAACCCACTAATAAATTAAAATGTCATCTCCCCTTTAGTTGACTATGCAAAACAGGCTAATTTCATAGCTTATTTAGTTTTAATCTAAGCTATGTATTTGAACATTTATAAATTGAGTGGTGAGGGGGAAGGGGCTAAGTTCTTAGTGGTTCTTGTTCCAGTCCTCACGCTCCTCGCGCTCCTTAACCACCTCGTTCAAATAGGGCTCCAAGTATTTGACATCCTCCTCGTACTTAGTCCACTGCTCTTTTGGCAAAATTGTTTTGGTCATGGACAAATGCAGAGCACGCATAATACGGTAGTTGCGCTCGTCGTAAATCTTGCGGGGCAGACGGCGGATTGCTTCCTTCACATCCTCGTTCTCATAGAGACAATCGTCACGGTGCAGACCTACATCCAATGCAAATCCATAGTTAGAAACATTTCCGTTGCAATTGTCAACGCTATTAGTGCTAAACTTACCGTACTGATTGAATCTAGACATGTTGTAGGCCCATCTGCCCAGTTTAGCTGCAATTGCAAAAAAAAATTTTGTTACATATTTACGTAATCATTCTAACATTAAGACCACAAGAGCGGCGTCATATTCGTGGGCATCGCCGTGGCAGCCATCTAAAAAAATACTTACAGAAAACCGATGGACCTTTTCTAGCAATGTAGCTCGCCATTATTCACGGAAATTGAAAATAATTCTAGAAACTCGGTCGCCTGGCTCCTATTTTTTTTTAGATATGACAGCTGGTTACAGCTGGTGGTGAGACTTCCCTCGAAATGACTTATCGATATCAGTCACCTGCGATACCGGAATTTTAAGCAGCCCTGGCAGGTGTGCTTTATTGAATCGCTTGAATTGAAATCGATAAGTCGCGCGTCTATTTAAAAAAAGACAAAAAATTTAAATCCTATTTCTTTTTCCAAGATATAAGAGCTATAGCACCCATTTTTGTTAGACATGTAGGTGTGAAATTCTGTAAAAACAAAAAATATATATAATTTTATAACCAATTTTGATAATTGACGATTTATTTATATATCTTTTTTTGTATATCTTTATAGATTGTTCAAAAACTGGGCGGCGATGGAAACCGGACAACAGTATAATAAAAATGGTCTGTTGAACGTACACAACACCATTACAAAATATACGAAAACTGTTTTTTTGTATAAAGTAAATAAATTGTATCGAAATTCTTGTAAAATCTAATAAGCTTCATGTACAAATCCGCCTTCATAACATAAACAATATACTACATGTAGATTACAACAGTTAATAATCACAATAGTGTCTTTAAAGCCAAAACTGAAAAGGGGGATATTTGATATCACCAAAAAACAAAAAAAAAACAAAAAAAAAAGATAAGGGAAATGTTTTATTTCAAATAAATCAACTACGTTGTTCAGCAAGAAATGTCGAAGAAAGCTTAAGCCTGACTTAAGGCCAAATGTTTTGGGGGCAAATCATAGGACAAAAGATGCCTCTCTAATTGTTCCACGTTCGGGGGTTGTATCCTTGTAGCTAGTACTGTATATTGTATATTAGTATGATCCCCTGGCTGGCTTATACACGAGTACAATTTACACATACATACATAAGTAGTAGAATAAGAATATTTGTTTAAAACATTCAGTATGCACCATTTGCTATTGAATGTTTTTGTTTATGTTTTAAAGTACATTACTTCGGGTTTCGTTTTATTTATGACTACAAAATATCAATTTACAAATTAAAGAACATATACAAATTCTTCATATATATATATATATATGTATATATATATATATATATATACATATACTAAGGCTGGCACGAATACGACACTAATTTAAGATTGTTTTTTTTCTGTTGTTTTGTGAACACACACACACACACACACGTTATAGTATATATACATATGCATAACATTGAGATCCGTTCCAGCCTTAGTTTACACATATATCACTGGGGCACATATTATATATATATATATATATATATATACATACACACATATATATATATATATATATATAGTTTCTCCGAATAGCAAGAGGGAGAGAGAGAGAACTCATTTATTGTTCTTCTGTGATGCAGCAGCAGTCAATGATAAAAACTCCTCCTTCCTGGCCAAGTATTCATTGTAACGAAGAAACGCATAGCTGGAATAGAAATCAACCAATCAATACACATTCTACAATTCCATATGCTTAGCATTCAGCATTCAGCATTCAGCATACACTTACCCTACATAATCGAAATCGATAGTGGAATGCTCGGCTTGTAATAGGGACCACACTGTCCAGAAGATATGCGATGCTAAAGCAAACTGATTGACCTGCACGTAGAGCCAATCAACCTCGGCGCTCTGTATATTCGTACGCTGCAGATATTCCTCGAGGTAGACGCGCAGCCATTGCAATTGAAACTCGCGCTTGGGATAGCGCGTATAGTCCACCTCGTCGACACCGCACATTTCCGCAAAATGATTGCCAATGTCGAATGCCTGAAAATTGTAATCGGCGTACTCGTAGTCAATAAAGTTAACCGTCTTCATGCTTTTCGTGTAGACGACATTGCCCAGCAGTAGGTCGTTGTGTGAGAAAACAATTGGACTGTCTAATGCCACCAGATATTTGTACAAGCTGTTGAATTCCTCACGCAGTCGACCAATTGGTAGAAATGTTCCTTTCACTCTGCAATAAGAAAACGCGGTTGGGTGGGTAAATGGCATCTGGTATCGTTTCGTTTCGTTTCGTCTCGTTTCGTACCTTTTGTGTTTCTCAGCATCACTAAAACGTTCAGGTACTAAATCAAGAAAGCTTTGCGTTTTCGTCCATATCATTGGCAATGGCTTTACTGCATCCACATTCGTATCCGCACTCGTAGCAACCGCCGCTGTAGCACCTCCTCCAATAATATCTCCCACATTCTTCCTAACCTTACGATGCATTTCAGCCATACGACGAGCAACCAATGGCCAAATCTCTGGACAAAGAACACTTTCAGTATTTAAGGTGGTACCAGGTACGTATTCGTAGACGAGGCCATTCTTGAACGTTGCATATAGCGATGGCGCTAGTCCATATGTATGCAATAGTAGAAAATTTTGCGTTTCAGCTTTCCGATCGATCAGTAGGTCTGTTTTGTTTCCATAAACCCTGACCAGGACTACGTTATCGGAGTACTGTAGAGGTAGGCCATCTGTTTCCCCATTTGCCGTAAACTCCTCCTCCTCGTCCTCCTGCACTGGTGGCTCCTCAACTTTGATTGGGGGCACATATGGTTCTTGCTGTTTGTCGTCGGTGTCCACATCGTTCTCATCGTCCTTCTTCAGTTTGGTTGCTGGTTTGTGGAAACATCCAACCAGTTTGTTTGTGATGCCATCGGTAAAACTCTGCAATCAATAAATCCGCAAACGAAAAATGTTCAATTATTAATGGCTCATTGCCTTTGGCCCAGTTACTATACGAATTCAACAACGTTATGAGGGTTAGGGGGTTAGGGGGCTGTGGGTGGGAGTTAGTTCGAGTTGTTGCTTCTAGAATCTAGAATCTAGATATACATATACATATATAGTTATTGCATCACCCTCTAACCAAAACCGTAGTAACATTAAGGTTTTAGTTTGCGATTTTTCAATGGAAAGATTTCGAAAAAAAAAAACCGTTCATTAAAGCCGGAACCGTTCTACAATTAAAAAAAAAAAAAGGGGGGGCTTTCCTTATCGCTGGCACATGCTACGCAGACACATATTTTCTATAGTATACGTGGATTTTGCACGAGTATGGGTTTTCAGGGGTACGCGAATAATTTCCAGTGATAAACTTTTTGACATTGACACCCTGCCTTGGCACCCTCCTCATTGATAACCCCCCACACATACGGGGTGTGCGAAATCAAGTATTGAACTGAAACATAGAACAGAGGCCTATTGCCAGGCAAAGATTCGCCCTATGTATGAGTAAGGGGCCTATGACCGGGTGAAAAATTTTCGAATGATCTGAATGACGCGCTGTGATTAGCTTGTACAAAGTTCCCCTAAGTGAGGGGACACTAAAGTGTAAATATAGGAAAATATAGAAACGTGGAAGCACTCCTTGTCGAAATGTTCTTTGGGATAAACTCTCTCCTGATTTATATAAGTAGAGTATCTACTTGGCTATGGCTGGAGATAATTAGATTGCGTACGTGGTACTAAAAGCATAAATACCATAATACTCATTAGACTTTAAACATTCTTACATACATATACTTGTACATATTGCACATATATATGTAGGTATTACTCGTACATACGTAGGAGGTCAAGGCATAAGCGTACCGATAAGACAGAGGCGAGCGGCCCATTTTTGAAAAGAATTATGGCTTAAGCAGCACTTTATGGCTACACTGAGCAAAAAGAAGTGCTCTTCTGAAATTCGGAATACAAGTGATTATAATGGAAACTTTGAACGAGTTGCCTGCTCGTTTTTTCCTCTCAGTGTGGGGTGGGCACACAGTCGTTGGTTCTTATCAACGTATCAGCGGAACGGAACATCATTATCAGCACACACACACCCCATATAGTATAGTATCTGTTTCATCTGTAATATATGGCTGGGCCCTGGTGCTGGCCCACTCGAGTCAATGCACCTGTCGGAGAAGAAGGACTTGAGATTAGAATCTAGGGGCTATATCTGTGTCGACACGCAGGTCTATTTCTTTGAGTAGGGGCACGGGCGTAGCGGGGCGGGGCGGGGCGGTCGCTTTTCCCTCGTGGCGCGAGATTAGAAAAATGGGAAATAATAAAAACTGGTTTCTACTACGTCTCGGGTTGTCCTAACACCCCAACAGAAAACAGAAAACAGAATATAGAAAACAGAAACAGCAACAAAAACACCAACACCAGCGTGAAAAAAAATAAATGTTAATTTCAAATATGGGGCTCACAATAAATAAAGAAAATAACAAAGTCTATTTACAAATATTCAAGGTAGCGGAGTAGCGCAGTATATGTATGTATATATATATATCATTATAATTACTATTGGAAGGTTGTGCAACCAGCCAAACGCTCCACTCGAATCCCTCTATATCTGTCGGTCTGTCTTACCCCCAGTAAATTAGTTGGAAACGATATATATTGTATGTACAGTGGAAATGTGTAAGAATAGCCATAGCAAATATACGATTAAGGTTTACCGTACAAATACAGCATCGGTCTGGGGGGACAGTCAGTCCTTTGGTGATTCAACTGATCACTGAACTACAACTTGAGACTTGAGTTATACATGTAGAATAATCTCAGAAGATGGTGCTGAAGGTAGAGGTAGAGAATGTTGATGGGGAATAGATTGTATGCATGTAAGTATGTATGTATGTTGGTATTGGTTTGTAGGGAAGGATTGGGTGTGGGATGTTTTGGTTGATGGGTTGTACATTACCTTAAACTCAACGTAGGCGAGATCCCAGTTCGGTCGTATAACCTTCAATAGCTCCTTGGCACCTTGAATTACATCGGCCTCCTCGACAAATATGGGCACAAAGGGTACGATAATCTTCTTTGATTCTTTGGTCAACGACGTGCTGTTCTGCTCCGAGTTCGAGTTGTTTGTCTCTGGCTGGTTTTTGGTTGCGTTTGAATACGAATTTGAATTCAAATGGTTATCGTTATCGTTATCGTTTTGATATTGATTTTGATTCGATTGCGATTGCTGATTGACCGTTTGACGAACTAAGGATAAAGAATCTTTCATCACTTTTGGATTGCCGCCACTTGTTGAAATCTGTCCTGTGTAACTGTTGCTCTTGGTTTCTGTGCCCATTCTATCATTCGGTATTTATCAATCATGTGAATATACGAAAGGTGTGTCAGAGGTCGGGTCAAAAACACATACAACAATAACAATAACAATAACAACAATAACACCATATGCACTATACATATACATATGCAAATATATAACAAATGAAAGCAAAACACACAAACAAACATACACACAAATCAGAAATGACAAATTAGAAATCGGCACGCCGAAGCTCCTTCATTTTACATATACTACAACAATCCACTCCCCCGGCAGTTCATGCGCGCAACCCCAAAAACAAAAGGAAAATAAGGATAAGAAGGATGAGAGGACCGCACCCAAAACAATCAAATCCGCTAGATATTAGTAATCGTCAAAGGTGGCAGTAGCAGTAGAGCCCCGGAACTAATTAGATAAAACGTATGGCCGAGCCGGCCCATGACTCCCATAACGGAACGAAAATAAAAAGGTTTATGGCGGGTTCGGTGGGTGGGGTGCTACCACGTGTACCGTGCAAGAAAAAAACTTATTGCAAATTCTGACACTCGCATAAACGTCCGACAGAAGGTACACGTATGTGTTCCCAATATACATACATACATACATATGTAACATTTGTGGGGCAATGATTAAAAACTTTGCTAAATTATATATTGGCAGAATGGAAACAGATTGGCCTCCGATGGGGCCCTATAAGTCAATAATGTTTGGTGTGATTAGATCGCGGAATAGAACCGAACCCAACCATACACACATACATATATATGTACATACTCCGCATATCGTACGTATCCGAAATGCATTATTCTGTACGGCTGCCCGCCGCCGCCGCCACACACAATCGTACAATTCGTATATGAATAATTAGGGCGTTCGAGTGCCTGAAATGTACATATGAATACATACAGTACTCGTACGTACCCTATCCGAGCCCCCACCCCACCTCACCAGCACCCTTTCTATGTACAATAGTCATGTGTTTCGGCGGCACTGCGTACCGCAGCAATACATATGTATGTATGTACATACGCCAGAGATCTCTGTGCTGTGCTTTTAAGGTAAAGCGGCGGCGGCGGCGGCACGCAAGATTCGTGTTTCGTGTTTGTTTTGGCATTAACATGTTTCGCTCTTCAGTCTTCTCTTCTCTTCCACTCTTTTATACATATATTTAGCGAATTCTCTCCGTTTACGGAAAAAGCAAATAATTTTAAAGTTTCATGCAGATAGATGTACGTACGGGGCTGTATGGGTGTTCGTATGTGTGTGCGTATGTGTATTTCATATTTTTTGGGGGAAGGAATGTTGGTTGGTTGGCCTTAAGGTAGGTTGGTTAAGGGGGATGGATGGAGGATGATTCTGATTCTGATCTTGTTCAATGGGTATTGGGGGGATGGCGTTTGCATGCAGGCGATTTTTTTTTTTTATAAAAACGACTAATAATGTAAAAATATAAAAGAAAATGTGTACCAATATGTCAAGCGTCAACGAACGCAAACGCAAACGCACACTGAGAGATGGAATTGTTAGATTTTGATTCTACACACGTTACCTTCGGGTATTGATTGTTTTTGAAAGAAAACACAAAAAAAAAGCCGCGAAAACCACACAACCAGATTATTGATTTTGGGGCCTGCTGCTGCTGTTGCTCGGTTTTCGAAGAACAGGCAATACAGGGGGGTGGGAGAACGGACAGCGGACAGCGTAGAGTGCGGTGCGATGCGATGTAAGGCGGTCTTGGTCTTGGTTTTGGTTTTGGTTTCTTTTTTTTTGGTGGCAAGCAGATGTGTTAATATTAGCGCTTCTCGCTATCCGCCTTATTTCGATTTTTCGTTTTTCGGCTCTTTTCCTCAAACTTCTTTGCACACAACTCCGACTTCCGACTCGACGGACTGTAGGGATGTTGAATATATATTTTTGATAATATATTTGTTGGCGATATTTTCTTTTTTTTTGCAAATAAATCAACGGACTTTTCTGAATTTAGAAAAAAATTCGACACTAGCTTGTTGTTTCATTGTTCGCGGCAGAAAAATTTGTGAGACCATTTAGTTTAGTTTGTTAAATATATATTGATGTGTCCATATATCGATATATTGGTGGGACCATTTTCCATGTGGCCGTTTTTTTCTTGCATGCTATGTGGCTGAGAAAACTTGCAGCCATCATGGCCCATAGGTCTCCATGTGAGTTGAGGTTCGTATCCTTGAATGAAATATCATTTATATCGATTTTTGTGCCGGAAAAATCAAATTTCTGATTTCAGTGATGTCCCAAAAACGACATATTCTTAATAAGCTTTTTCGTTTAAATATCGATAGTTTTGTGCGATAATTGATATTTTTCCAAAACCAGGCTTGGCGCAAAACACATTAAACTGTAAAATCTGTTGTGCTCTTCTGTTGTGCTTAAATTGCAAAATTCGTACCTTCTTTATCAAACAGACTTTCAAAAATGGACTGAATGCAATAAAAAAAAAAAATAGTTTGATTCTTGATTCTGTCCTTAAAATTTTAATGTTCAAAAATGCCTGATAAAAATATTTAATGGGGCGGGGTTTGATTTCGATTTTTTTAGTAATTAGGGTCGTTCAAGTCTTTCTTATTTACATCTTTTCCGTTTCTTAAAACCAATATTTATGGCGATGCCACCGGCTTTCTTACGGAATTAAGTTGGTTGCAGCTATGCCTTTCGTGAAATGAGGGGTGGCAACTCTTTCTTTTCTTTGAAATTGTGTAAAACTTTGTTAAAGTCGAATTTAGTTTTCTGCCAAAACGTATTCAATATAATCCCAGTCACAAAAAGGTATTGAACATATCGCACACGTCTTACTGCTCTTATTTCATAAGCAGAAATAATTTTTCGAGAAAAAAAGAATACAAGAATACAAAGAAAGGATGTTTCAGCAAAAGCAAGTAAAGGACTGGGAAGTAACACCACGCAGAACTACCGCGTAAGTATACAACTTTGACTCGATTACAGCCAATACAAACCCGTGTTCAATCGCTGATTTTTCTCTCAGTCTTAACCTTGGCAATACCAAAATCGCTGAGCAATTGGAGGCTTTCAAGAAACACACCGCCGAGGTGGAAAAGGCGAATGGACAATGTTGCAAGAAATTTATCCGACTAAAGAACAAAGATCGCTTGGTGGACGTGGCTATGATCCACATCGAGAGTAGTCGTTCCACCATTGTGAACGTGGATGGGGTGCGCTTTCTGTGCCACGACGCGGTTCTTTCGTTTTTTTCGAAGCGTTTGACGGAGCAAATGCGGAAGGGATGCCTGTACTTCGAGACCCCAGAGCTGGCATCTCGTGCATTCGATAAAATATACCGCTGGATGCATGGGGAGTGCAGCGTTGTGCAGAGCTTCGATCTTGCAATGCTCAGAGGGGCTCGATTCCTGGCCATTCCCGAATTGCTCGAGCAGATGTGGAAGCTGCTGGAGAAAAAGAACCCGACTGAGTACGATGCATTCGAGATGCTCTGCAAGTCGCGCAAAGTGCACGAGATCGAGGAGCTGCATGGAATGATGGTGGATCGCATTACCAAGTCCACGCTGGTCATCTTCTCCTCCAAGCAGTTCCTGCGGCTGAGTGAGACTCAAGTGTCGCTTCTTCTGAAGTCGGATCGTTTGGCAGTCAACTCCGAAATTGAAGTGAGTGTCCCAGAATCGGTTCCCATTTGGACAACATTCAACATTTCATTGATTGCATATCCAAATAGGTTTTGTACAGTGGCTTGTGCTGGCTGCGATACAAGTGGCCCTTGCGTCGTGGCAGCGTTGGCAAGGTCCTCAATAGCGTCCGCTATGGGTTTCTCTCCATACTCATGCTGCAGAAGGTCTCGCTGGCGGATCGCCCGCAGACCGGTCCGTTCGGAGATATCCTGGATGTGTTCCTACAGCTGCCCGAGTCCAAGAAGATCCTAGCTGATGCCCTGATCTACAGCAGCCTTCTAGCAACCACTGTAATGGAGCCGCACTGTCTGAAGGATAGGCTTGCCACCACCGGAATACAGCTTCTTTCCTCTCGCCGCTGGATGATCGATACGCGCTGCGAATACCATCGCCCTGTCGCCGCGACCATACCGAACATGTCCTTTGTGTCGTGGGATGAGTTCAAAAACTACATGTTTATGCTGCAGACTGAGAAGACCAATATCGAAGACTTTCGTTGCGTGGATGAACCGAAGCGCCATATCTGTCCGGGTTCGGAAAGCGATCTGTCGGTTGCAGAGCTGGAGCCCTATGGCTCCACATCTTCGCAGACTTCGCTGCTGTCGGAGGACACGGACCATGGATCCACCACCATTGTGGCAAGCAGCTTCAAGGACTCGTCATCAGCATCGGAGAGCGTCCTGACCTACACCGAGGATACTGAAGGGTCCTTCTCGGATGAGTAGGATTCTCGTCGCATACCACTGACGGGCCCTCGGCTGGAGACTTGCCCAAGGCCACAACCAAAAGGAAAATAGTCCTTAAATATTTTTAAATACCTATTTTAGAGTTTTCCGTTGTTATAATTCCCAGATATCATTATTTTAACCATATGTCGTCCGTTTCCAATAAAGCGTCAAATAATCAATAGAATATTGGTATTCTTTGCTTTTGATTCGATTTCATAATGTTTTGAGTACCACTTCCATAGGAATGGCATTCTTGATTAGCATAAATATCTGTGTATCCACTAGTCCGATATTAGCTATTAAATTCATAGGCAGTGCTTGCAGACTGAAGCCTATATTGTTCTCTTCTACACTTCGTTTATTGCTCCACTGTACAGAAACATTGTTACATCCAAGCTGCTCTCGCGTCTGTCTTAACAGGTCGCATGGTGCAGGAGCTTCTGCTTCAGGGGAAAATAAAAAGAAAGAATTTCTTCAAAACATATTTACATATTACTTCAATAATCTTTGTATATTCTCTTGCATCGTGTTCTTGGAATGGCCTGACTTAAAGCTACAAAATTTGCATACAAATTATACAAAACAAAAATCTACACACAATTATGGGAGGTGTGAGGCAAAAGTGAAATTTCTGTGGTGATATTGAAAAATATAAAACTTAAGCATGGAAACAGGCGCCTAAAAAGTTAGCTAACAAATCAATAAAAAAAAATATAATAATTAGGCTGCACGCACAAAATGAGGGAACAACAGACAGAATACTGAATACGGGGGTACGGGGGTACGGGCGTACGGGGGCGGAATGTGTGTGACGTGTGTGGGTTGTTGTAATAGACTAGGTCTAAATCGATAACTATAAATAATATATAAAGTACGTGTGCAGTTAAGCTTAGTGCAATCATTGTGTATTTTGTGGGTTTCTCAGTACAATCTCTCGCCATTCCAGGTTGTAGTCCCAGCTGGTGCTCCTCCTCCCACTGGTCCTTCTTTTCCTCGTTTCCTCCTCAGCGCTCTTACACATGATAGAGAGTGGTATTGTCGGGCTCTACCTCCACTGCCTGGACAATGAAACGCTTGCGATCCACCACATCAATGGGGGCCGATGGCTAGACATAGAGTAGACCGAATTTTAATTAGTAATTCAAGCCACAAGAGAAACAAAAACAGATCTACATATATACTAGGGATAGGAACAGAAGCAGTGATTGTGAAATGTGGGAGAGTATTAGGATATGCCAGCATTAGCGGGTACTACAGATATATGTACATGCAGGATGGGGGGGACAACTGGACGGAAGTACTCACACAATGCTACGAAACCTTCTGGGGATCACACTCCTCTCCCTCTCTCTCTCTCTCTCTCTCACTCTCTCTTGCCTCAACACAGCTCTACTATAAGTTACATTTTACAATAAATTGCCTTAAACCATTGGCTTCTAATTTTAGTTACATTTTGCAGGAAAGTATCACAAAGATAAGTTTTCTCTATCTTTCTTTTAAATGGTTATGAAATTCTTCAAATATGTTTAACAAATTTCTCGGCAACAAAATAGTGGAACAGTGTGTTTGTGTGTGTGTTTGTTAACGAATTACGAATAATACTCGACATTTTTGATCTAAAACGAAACATAAAGAGAAAACAGAAAAGATGGGGAAAAAACATACATAGTATAAACAGCAAGACCAAGACAAAAGACTTAAACTACAACTAAAAACCAATCGGAATTGTGGAATCTGGAATCTTTGAAGAGTGTTTTCCTTATTTGCAAGGACAGACCCGTTGTGGGTGCCTGTGGTTCTGCATTGGGAGTACAACTTAAGATTTAACCACAACCGAAACGCACCAATCTATAACCAATTTATCTATCCCTTAAGGACTAGTATCCCCCGCACGCCAGGGCACTCAGGGCACTCAGGGCACACTCACATCGGTGCATTTGCATTGCGTCTCATCGAAAACGGTGCCGGTGGTGCAGCTCTGATTGTAGCGGCAGGCACAGGTGCAATTTGCATCGTCCCAATACTTGCTGTCGGCCTGCTCCAAGCACTTGTCCCTGGCGTCCGTGTTCTGGCACTCGCAGCGGCACAATTCTCTCCTGTACAGCTGATACGCATTGCAGTCCTCGGCCTTGATGCGGCAATCGCAGCGGCACGCCAAATGCTGTTCGACCACAATGATTTCCGAGCTGCGCTTGGATGTGCCGCCACGTTCGAATTTTCGCACACGCATCTGCACCTTCTCCGTCTGCGTGGGCTGGCAGGAGATCAATGTGGAGCCGCAGCAGCCATTGCAGCGATTAATGCGCGTGCATGCAGGCGTATAGTAGACATTGAAATTCCCCGCCTCATCGCTGGGCGGTTTCAGCTCCACAATGGTCGGCTGAGGCGAGCAGATCGCAGGCTGGGCATTCCGTATGGCAGCTGCAAGAGCAAAAGAGGGTTGGTTCTTAATTCAGGAAACTATAACCAATATAAAGTACATATATACTCGTATATTGCCACATTCTTCTACCTTAGAATTGGACTGTCAACGGAAACCTGTCAGGCGACAAGTGGGTTGGCTTTACAACACCCTAGTATACAGCTCACGAGATGAAAAACCGAAAGATTCCGATTATAATATTCGCAAGGGGCCGCCAAATAATGTCATTTAATTCTTTGGCGACCCCCTATCACACACAGATATGGAAATTGGATACAGACACTGTACTGATACTGTATAAACACTGATTCGCTGTACAAATGTTCCCCTAAGCGAACAGGTTCAAGTGATTCTGGTATTTTATACGATGATATCTCAAAAAGCTCAGCGCAAACACTGATTTAATGCGCGAATACGAGTATTCCAATTAGGTTTTAAAATAAATTTAGTTGGTAATTATTCCAATATAATGGAACAAAATAGAACATAACAAAAAATAGCTTTTTGAATTTTGCTGCTAATGAAAAACAAATTGAATTTAAATATTCTATAAATTCTAGTAAATCTTTTTTTATAGTCTTCAGAAATGATCTTACATCTGGTGACGCTGCGTTTGAAGTTTTCTGCAAAAGACCAGAAAGAGAGAGATGTTAATCTACAGATTGTGAATAGTAGAGGCACTTAAATGGTGTTCTACTCACCCTTGGAGGATATTTCGCCAGAGACATCGTAGTCGGCGGTGATGTTGCTCAAGTCCGTTGCAAGTTCCAATGGCAACTATTGAAAATAGAATTGGAATTAATGGAATTTAGATTATATTTCTAACAACTTCAAAGCATTATATAAACTGATTTATATTTAGACTTTTTTTATACATTTATGTTTAAAGGACAGGGAATTCTATAGTTGAAATATGCAATTTTTCTCTCAGTGTAGAAAACAGAGTCTAAAGCAATATTTGAACAATTATCAAACGTTTTTTCCTACAAATTAAACTAAAAAGGTGGCAACTGGCATTGTAACTATTGTTTTATTATTAAAAAACTGTGACAACACGTACAAGAGATCGCTCCAGCGATCATTAGTCACCTGCTCTCCTATCCGCGTCTAGCCTGCTGCTCTCTCTGCTCTCCTCTCCTCTTTCGATTCCCCCTGAATTGACGTAGATACAGATGTGTGTACGTCTGCGTATGCCATTAAAAAAATGACAGACGACAACTGCATAGAAATGTTGCTATTTCCAGGGAACAGATAGCTTGAAGCTCGGACTGATATTTGTTTTTATATCTGGTGCTACGGTGCTCTCGTGCGTCACCCCATAGAAGGGGGGGGGCCTTCTGGCCGCCACGTGCCAGGTGCTTTGACCAATTGGCACGGCATCGTCATCTCGAACGTCGGTAGCGGCGCCACGATTCGCTTGGCCATGATTCATTAGCGCCCCGGAACGGGTTGCCGTTTATTCACTTTCTTGTGTTAATTGTGGAAGCAGCAGCAGCAGCAATCGCAGAGAAAGTTCAAGGGCAACAGACACGACTGCAAAATTGATATGATCGCGAGGAAATCGCGGAGACATCAGAATAATCTCAAGAGGAACTTCTGTTTCTGCAAACAGATCGAAAATGAATCATTGAATGATCTTCCAAGGTTCCAGGAAATGAATCGCGGGTTTTTATGGGATCAGTATCTTATTTGTGTATTTAGAAATTGATCCAGATGTTTACCCAGTAAATAATGACGAAAAACCCTGCTCTGTTATCCGCTTCTGCCGAAAGGGGAAACCGAAAGAACCAACGAGCAGGTGTGGGCGTAGGTGGAGGGGGAGGATCTGCTAAAAAGGGAGCTCCACTGGAAGGTGGAGCCCGGCCGCTTCTGTTTATCTTTGAATTGACGCAAACAAAAGCTCTGGCGACAGACGATGTGGGAATGGGAATGGGGACGGGAGCGGGTATCATCGGTATGGGAGAGACGTAATGCGAATTATTTGTTTTGGAATCAAGGCGATCGCTATCAATGCCACCAGATGCAGAAGCAGAACAGAATTCCAGAAACAACACCCAGAAACCAGAAACCAGAGAGGCTGAGGCTGAGACGATGACAGGCGACGGCAACGGCGCCACTGTCCATGGGAATGGGGGATTTGGGTGGGGGTGGGGGATGATGGGATTGGATTGGGGTCCGAGTTGGGGTTGTGGCTTATCAAGCTGCAAACAAATGCGATGATCGCTGGAGGCTGACCCAAATGTGCAATGTCTCTAGGCGACTCTGTGGCGCCACCATAAAAGCTGTGGCGCCACTGCATATCCCCCATCCACCCCCCACCTAACGAGAGTTATTCAGCAGTTAAAATATACCATCCACTATTGCTTCTCCTTATCCGATCGCTGATCTGATTTCATTTCTCATCACAATTCCAATATCCTTTTTTCCTTTTGCCGATCGCTCTTCGAAATTTCCTTCCTACAGCTGTTAAAATATCCCCTCTCTGTGTCTGTTAAACACCGCTCTACAATCTCTGTTAAGATATCCCCCTGTACCTGTATGTGTGAAAGCACTCACCGTTACAGGTGTTCCAGCATCGGCGGCTGCCCCCTGGCAACAGCTTCCCTCATCCACGGGTACTGCTGCGCCGTTTGTCTGCCGCAGCAGACGCACCTTTGTCTGTGATGCGGCATCTGATGGTGGGGTGGCCGCCGCCGTCGCAGCATAGAAAAAGCGTGGCGAGGGTTGCAGATTGGCCGAGGACGCGACAGAGACGCCAGCAGCACCGCTGACGATTAACAGCAGCAGCGACAGCTGTAGAGGTAGGCGATGCGCTGTCGAAGATTTGGTTTGTGGCATGGCTAAGTGTGTGTGGGAGGGCGAGCGAGAGCAGGTGCTCTGGTCTTCGGTTAACAGTTGGTGTTGTTGCTTCTGTTAAAGCTTCGTTTCGTCTTCTGTTAAAGGTTGTGTTGTTGCTACTGTTATTTTACTGGAATGAGAGTGAGAAAAGAGAATTTAGCTGGTACCGCTTTTGCAGGGGCTTCTGCTAAAGGTATATTCATGTAAGGTTAGGCCCTGACAACCTTACATATTTTTTTATTTATTATATTTGTTTCTTACAAGAAACAAAATTATCTAACATAATATTAATAATTTATATAAGATAATTTAATTAAGATATTTTATAAAATTTAGGTGGATTTTGGTTCAAATTAATTAAGGCTTATATGGTTGGCTATTTTGAAGAACCCATTCTAATGTATACCAAACGATATTCTCGGCTCTCCACAAATATATAACGATCCACTCTGGCACTGCCTCATCTTCTGTGTAAATACACCTTGTGCTTATGCCGCATCGCATCCCATTTGTCTGGCTATTTGTCTGGCTTTGTGGCAAGCATGATTTATGATCTGATTTACAGCGCGACGATGATGGCTGGGACAGGGCGAGAAGACGTCACCGGAGATCTGTCTGTTGTTATTTGTTCGGTGGTTAATTTACTTTTCTTTTGTCTTGCTGCCTAATTTACAATGTCAACTCTTTATTTATATATATGTATATATTTTTTGGAAGACTAAAGTCGTGCACGTGGGTGGACACATTTACCGTTCGAATTGGGGTCACCTTCTGAATCCGCTTCTTGTCGATGTTGTCCAACGAAAAACCTTTTTTATGGCTAACTTGACATTGGTAAAAAAAAAACTCTTATCATAAGCATACAAAAAAAACAAAGACCGAGACAGAGCCACGAGTGTGAGTATGCGTCAGGCATATCAATCGACAATCATCCGGAATGATTGCATGAGGAATGAATGAATGGAGGCTATAAAGAAATACTCATATCGAAAGAGTGTGTGTGGTAATAAACCCATGGGATACCTCTTAGTCATATATATATATATATATTTAATTCTTGAGGAATTACTTACATCTACGAGTGCACTCATTTTATGGTAGGAAACTATTTACAGCTCTACTTATAGCCCTTTTCCGCTGAGGTGCACATGCGTCACCTCTCACGTTCCCGTGCGCTGTTCCCCTAAGCGAATGGATACATTCGTTTCAAATTACCTGTTTTTGGATTTTTAATAACGAAATCACAAAAAGATATACGCATGAGTGTATCTGTTAGTTTCTAAATTCATTTTGGAATAGAGAAATATTTTCGGGGGGAGGCCTCCTCCTCCACAACCAATATACCCATTCCATTCCTATTTGTACAGCCCACCATTGGCGGAACAATGCAACGCATTTTGGCTATGAATGAACCACGATTGTTCGACACGCCGGTCCGAGCTGTTTATTTGTTTGCTTCTTTTATTATACAATAGAGCCTTTTCTTGAGTCATAAATCAGAAGAAGAAAATTGTAGCCATTAAGCAAACAGGATTTTCATATATGTATGTATGTACATAATCAACAGGTGCAGGGAGGAAATATCCCATTCGATTTCCTGTCTGTCTTTGTGGGACCTTCATGGGTGAGCCCCAAGTGTGATTGGAATTAAATATTTCCTTTCCTTGGTATAGAGGTAGTAATCTTTAATACATCAGATACACTGGCCATCGTACCCGTTTTTTGTGGCTACTCTACATGCGGGTATTGCAACATTCTTTAACAGGAGATCCTAAAATACTAGCCTCTGCTTATAAAGATCTCGTTACTCTCTCAGAAAAGAGAGATCATAATGAAGATCGGTTTTATATTTACATATAAACAGACATAACAGAATACATATGTATATCGGTTATAGAAAGCAACATATTCCCAAGAACCATCGGATCTTAAAGAGTATTCAATGCTGCGGTTCTGTTATTTCTTTGGTTTTGTGTTTTCGTGGAATTGCATTTTATTATTATTATTATGTATTCTCTCCTCTCTCTCCCTTTTATGCCATGATTGCAATGGAAGGCCCTGCGCGCCAGCCCCCACCGCTTCTTTGGAGCCTCCCCTTCTGTCTTCTGTGGGCTGCTCAAATATGAAAATTCTTATTATAGGTCAGTTCGCGTTCGCGTTTCCCTTTCAGCTCTGCTGTCGATAACATAATAAAACTCTCGTACGACGAGTGTGCATACCCCCCGATAATGATATGTTGTTGGTATTTGTTTTGGTTGGCTCAAGGCGGTTTATCAGCCTAACAAAAATACGTACGACACAATATACATATGTACATATAAAATAGAAAGAGTCAGTGATTTGCCATTCATTCATAAAAATGCAAAACAAAACAGCAACAGAATGCCAGCGAGACAAATTGGCTCCCCTATGAAGCAAAAAAAAACAACATATCGAAATGGAGTATCGAATCGAATATGCGGACTATAGGATACTTGCTACTCAGAAAATGCTGTGAGAATAATGGGATAATTAAGGAATTGGTAAGGTTCTGATTAGAATTTCACATGAAACAGACAGCTGTTTCAGCTCCAAAAAGAGCTAATTATTCTGTCTGTAATATTTATTCAATCATGATGATTTTTCGCAGAATATCAGTTGTCTTTAGATAGCTTTATATCTTGTAAATTTAATTTATGATAAATTCTCAACTGTTCATACAGGCCAGATCGACTAGATACCCTATGAGATATAGGGTAGCAGTTGTCCCCCAACGTACCGGGTGTTTATTACGAACAAGAAGAAGTAGAAGTAGACGTTGAAGTGGATAAATCAAGTACAGACCAAAGAGAGGCCACAAACAGCAGCACAGGAAAGGAGATAAATAACCCAATGAGCAGGAGCGAGTGAGAGTGAGAGCGCAAAAGCGCGAATGCAAGCTTCTGCGATCACTAAAAATAGCTTTGAAGCTCGCATTGTTACGGTGTCCGCAAAAGCAGGAGTTTCACAGAAAAAGAGAGCGAGAGAGAGAGGGGAGTTGTAGAGAGCTAAAGACTTGCTCTATGTGGCTTTTATATGTAGGAGTACCTGCTGGTACAGGTGGTACGGGAGGTGCATGGAGGTGGAGTCACTCCCTTAACTGTTTATTTGTTTTGTGCAATCATGAGACATAAACAGACACGCACACACACACACACACACACTCTCTACTGATATCACAGCCCGGGCTGCTGCTGCTGCAGTTTCCATTGTTTTCTTGTGTTCTACTCTTCACTTCCCCCTTTCCTTTCTTGCGGGGGAACGGGGAGCGAAACAGAACCCGTTAATCAAATACCGATTGATATGGGAGAGCCGTAAGCCAAAGCCAAAGCTGCTGCAGCTTTTGTTGTAGCATTTGTTGCCGTGTATTGCTCACTCTCTCTCTCTCTCATGCACACGCACACGCACACGCACACCTGTGTGATTCATTATGACATTCCTTTTTTCTCATTCTCATTCTCCGTTTCATTTCATTTCTCTTATTCTCTTCTGCGCTCTTTAATTGGTAGGAAGTGATAATAACGGTAATCTCTTGAAGGAGTGCAACTTCGGGAGTGGAACCCTGAAAGGTTTTTGTTCCAAAATACATTTTAAGGAACATTTTATTACAATTAATTGCGTAGAATAGCGCTAGTCTGCGAATATACCACGTTTCTGGTTGAAAATGTTCGGTTTTCGTTTTTTAACAAGCCAACACGTTCTAGAGTTCATTTCATTTAATAATTTGAGTTTTCGAATAATTTCAAGGCATTCGATTCGAGCTGCATATGGGTCACCATGTCTCATACCTCTGTTTCCCATAAGTGAGTGGCCACATTCGTTGCGAATGCCATCCGCCTATGAATGTAAATGTTGATAGTTGATCACATTGTTATTCTATCGTTTGCTCATTATACAACGTTAAAACACCTGTAGAATCAAAAAACAGCTGTTCAAATAATCACAAAACCAAGACACAAATATTTGATATCCAGTGTCAATACAAACGTAAACATTTACCCCAGCTTTATGTTCTTTGAATTTCATTTAAGTTTTAATTGAATTAACTCTAATCTAAAGTTAAGAGTAAATAAAATAACTTGCGGAGCTACTCTTCAGGATTATATTGAGGTGGACAGTGGGGTTTTAACATCACACTATGATCGCAGTAACATCTGTAGGAACTACAGAGGAAGACCTTATTTTAAAGATTGTAACTCTGAATTAGTGGAACCGATTTAGAGTGAACCGATTTAGCGATGAAATTTCATCAGCCCTCCAAGGACGATGTAGAACACGCCTTTAAAACATCGACAGTATGAACTGGAGATCCATTTAAAGCTTTGAACCAACCGGAATCTCTTTTTGTTGAAAATACCAACCAAAAAAAATCGAATCTTCACCCCCTAATAATCAAAGTGGATAATAGTGGTTAGACTTATGGAATTGATGCGATTCGAAGTGAAATTGAATCTATTGTCTCTTGAAATTGTCTCTAAATGTTAGCCGCTATCATTATTAAGTCGTAAAGCTGCTTTATATAAAAGTAAATTCAATTAAATTATAGGCAAGAGTATCTTTCAAAAGGTTTAACTATAAAAAATTTCGGTTTAATGCCCCAATTGGAAGGCAGACCTTAACCTGATTGAATCGAACAGGGGGAAAAAAAGCTTGCCTCAGCGATAAATCTATGAAGTCGTGTCACGCCATTCAACTACTATCCCTTATTTTCCTTACGAATGAGGATGATATCATGATAATAGATCTGTTTATAACTCTATCGAATGTGAGGGAAATATCTTGGCAAACGCTTGCGTTGACGTCTCTTATCAGCTGTTGATATTCCGCTGTGCCGAGTGGCGAACAACAAGTGAGAGAACAGGGCGGTGCTGATGGAGATGGAGAGAGTAGACCCCCCCTAAGAGCCTCCTCTGTCGTCGATCTACAAAGGGGAACTGAGGTGGAGTGAGGCGACGGAGACATTGACTGCACAATCAACCGATTACAAAA